TGTGTGTGTGTGTGTGTGTGTGTGTGTGTGTCGTTGTGTGTGTGTCGGTGTGTGTGTGTGTGTCGTTGTGTGTGTGTGTCTCTTACGGTCATCAAGGCTGTATTTATGTAATCAAAAATACAGAAAAAACTGTAATATTGTGAAATATTATTGCAATTTCTAATATCGGCTTCCTATTTCAATATAATTTAAAATATAATTTATTTCTGTGATCAAAGCTGTATTTTCAGCATCATTACTCCAGTCTTCAGTGTCACATGATCTTCAGAAATCAGTATAATATGCTGATTTATTATCAGTGCTGAACCTGTTGCTGCTTCATATTTCTTTGGAACCTGTGATAATTGTTTCAGAATTCTTTGAGGAATAAAAAGTTAAAAAGAACAGCATTTATTCAAAATATAAATATTTTCTAACTATAAGGCTTTACTATTACTTTATTTTTTTCCATTAAACACATCCTTGCTGAATAAAAGTATTAATTTCTTTTTTTTTAAATGGACTGAACCCACACTTTTGAATAGTAGCACAACACTGTTATTTTTTTACTTTTTATTTATTAAAGAATCCTGAAAAAAAAGTATGATGGGTCCCAAAAAATAAATAAATAAATAAAACATTGATTATAGATCAGCATATTATACTGATTTCTGAAGATCATGTGACACTGAAGACTGGAGGAATGATGCTGAAAATACAGCTGCGCATCACAGAAATACATTACATGTGACCCTGGAGCACAAAAGCAGTCATAAGTAGCACAGCTATATTTAATATGCATTGCTAAAAAACTTAATTTGGACAACTTTAAAGATGATTTTCTCAATATTTTGATTTTTTTGCACCCTCAGATTCCAGATTTTCAAATATTGTGCTATCCTAACAAACCATACATCAATGGAGAGCTCATTTATTCAGCTTTCAGATGATGTATAAACCTCAATTTCAAAAAATTGACCCTTATGACTGGTTGTGTGCTCCAGGGTCACATATTTTAAAGTATATTAAAATATAATACTGTTATTTTAAATTGCAATAATATTTCACTAAATTACATCTTTCTCTGTATTTTTGATCAAATAAATACAGCCTTGATTAGCATAAGAGACTCCTTTAAAAACCATTATGAATCCCAAACTTTTGAACAGCAGTGTACACACACAAAGAGAGCAAAAGAGCATATATTTAGCTTGGAATTGCCGTGCAAGAAAAAGTGCGGAGAACACAATCATCTGTTTTTAAAAGTCGAGCAGACAGCACCTGTCACAACAGTCCCTCCCCACAGCACAGATATAAGCAACGGCGCATCGATCCAATAAAAAACTGCCGTGCAAGTGGAGATGTGAGTCATCGAATTGCTGTATTGCAACCCCTCTATTACAGACAACTCATTTGAAGCAAATCGCCACCATCTCTGACTTCTCTTATCAGTCTCTCTCTCGCTCTTTCATGCTAATGAAAAAAGAAAAACAGAAATCAATGGTCGTGAGATTGCTCCCTCACAGGTGTGTGTGTGTCTCTCAATCCAGCCCCTCCACGCTTGCTTATCACTGCAAACTTTTAAATTCACACAACCCTTTCAGACGGAATGATAAAACACGGGGCTGGCAGAAAGAGGGCTTCACGTTGTTATCCGCGCCGCTAATTTGACATTTGGCGCACATTTAAAAGTCAACGGGTTTGCTCTCAAATCAGCAAATATTATCAAGGCCCTAATTTCCCTTTTTAATGGAGAGAAACAGGTGCGAGTTGATGATTAGAGCAAGCGTGTGAAAACAGCCATTGCTGAACAGACTGGACCCTGCTCTTTCCCTTGAAACCTTGCATCATAATTATAATTACAAACGCGTCCCTCGCTTGTCCGCTCCTGCCGTCCTCCGCGTGCGACATGTTCTTCGTAAACGATGCTGAGTTGTGTCGATGCTGTCATGCTCTGACAAGCATCCGCAATTTAAAACATTTTCCACTTTACGAAACCTTTCGAGTCTCAAATGCTAAAGAATGCTATTTTCGTGAAACTACATAAAAACCCTTGTCAGACCAACAAAATTACCCCAAATGTTGTCCCAACCAGTCAAACACAGAGTTTCATATTGTTTGTGAGTTCCCAGCATGCATTGCAGCATGAATAATTGATGCAGTTACTGTTATAGGATTATTGTTTTGCTGACTTCATTTAAACTTTTTTGTTGTTGTTTTGTCATTATTGTTAGTTATGTGTTGTACTGTGATGTAAAGAGCTCTGTTGATTGCATCGTTCTTGAGGTGTGTGTGTCTAGTTTTGAGGCCTAGAGTATGTTTAACAGCTTATATCTGGATATCTTAGTCTCAAGTTTTACAATGTTGTTTACATATCAGACTAAGTTATCCATTAAGGTTTGTTATTCGTAAATAAACATCAAATTGATAATGTGGTGACTTTTTACACACTCTTTTTTTTCTTCCAGGAAACAGAAAAAAATTATTACCTCAACGACAGTAATTGTTGTTTCGGTTTCTGTGACAATAATTTTTCTATTAGCAAAAATAAGACAATTTATTCGTCCATCTCTTTCTTCTTTTCTTTAGTCGACCCCTCCCTTCATTCTCCATGCAGATTTGAGATAAGAGGTGTGATTTCTGCTTTGAATTTACCGAGATATCACATTACTGCGTGGTTTTATAGGTCTTTATGGTAGAGCCTTCATCCCTATTCATTTGCACCCTCTCCATTTGTGTCTGTTCTTCCTTTCTCACAATGTTCTCTTTTTCTCTCATGCTGTCTCTGAGGGGAACTCACTAAGAACAAGTTGTGCGATAGTGCTGTTACTCTTCATCAGTATTTGTGTCTTTTCCAAGAAGCATCCATAAAAATGCATTTACTTGAGCTTAATATTATAAGACTCGTTTTCAGATAGTATCATTTGAATTATGTGTACTCTCCTTTCCTCGATGGAAAAAATATGTTTTACATTTTTAGCATGCATCTAACAAAATTTAGTGAGGTTTATTCTTAAAATAGGAGATAAGCAATTTGACAGCATGGGTAAAAAAAAACATTTGAACTTGCAGTAAAAGCTTATTTTCACAGTTTTGTTTCTCAAGTAAATATGGCCTGTTTTAAGCATTTGCCGAGTATAGCATTATGAGACAGAAATATGGTCTAAGATACTGATTCTTGTGTTGTATTTGCATTATCTTAGCACTATAATCAGGTTAATGATGCAAACACATTCTCAAAATTAACATTGATCCCAATTTGTACGCTTTTTTTTCTTCCAGGAAACAGAAAAAAATGATTACCTCAACGACAGTAATTGTTGTTTCGGTTTCTGTGACAATAATTTTTCTATTAGCAAAAATAAGACAATTAGCATTGCATGAACAAACTAATTTACATTGGCTAAACAAAGCATCTTTACTGAGCAGAACTAAAAAACTGTTGTTGAGAGAACTCAAAAATTGCCTTTTTTTTTACGTTTTCTCAACTATTTATTTTTTACAGTGAGGATGCATTTATCGTTGTATCATTAAATTGTCCTGACTGTGTTTTGTCAATCCATAAACAGTTCCAGCTCTACTGGGATAGCGAGAGGAAGACATTGGCGTGCATCTCGTAATCACTTCTGTTTCTGTTTTTTGTTTTCTGTATCTCCCCTGACAGCCGTTGTGTGCATCTGGAGCCTCGTTGTCCAATCAGAACCCTCGCTTCTCGTCTAATCAGAACCCTCGCTTCTCGTCCAATCAGAACCCTCGCTTCTCGTCCAATCAGAAGCTGCACTCCGTGGAGCGGAGAAATGTGGTGTGCGAAAGTTCTTCTCGTGATGTGCGTGATCGGCTTTGAAAAGGGGATTTGTGTCAACTGGAACCCCGTCCCACGCAAGACTGTTAAATATAATGGTGAGTAGCACTGTCCTGTTCCCTTTTTTCTCACACTGTTTTTATGGTACTCCTTTCTTTATTCGTCCATCTCTTTCTTCTTTTCTTTAGTCGACCCCTCCCTTCATTCTCCATGCAGATTTGAGATAAGAGGTGTGATTTCTGCTTTGAATTTACCGAGATATCACATTACTGCGTGGTTTTATAGGTCTTTATGGTAGAGCCTTCATCCCTATTCATTTGCACCCTCTCCATTTGTGTCTGTTCTTCCTTTCTCACAATGTTCTCTTTTTCTCTCATGCTGTCTCTGAGGGGAACTCACTAAGAACAAGTTGTGCGATAGTGCTGTTACTCTTCATCAGTATTTGTGTCTTTTCCAAGAAGCATCCATAAAAATGCATTTACTTGAGCTTAATATTATAAGACTCGTTTTCAGATAGTATCATTTGAATTATGTGTACTCTCCTTTCCTCGATGGAAAAAATATGTTTTACATTTTTAGCATGCATCTAACAAAATTTAGTGAGGTTTATTCTTAAAATAGGAGATAAGCAATTTGACAGCATGGGTAAAAAAAAACATTTGAACTTGCAGTAAAAGCTTATTTTCACAGTTTTGTTTCTCAAGTAAATATGGCCTGTTTTAAGCATTTGCCGAGTATAGCATTATGAGACAGAAATATGGTCTAAGATACTGATTCTTGTGTTGTATTTGCATTATCTTAGCACTATAATCAGGTTAATGATGCAAACACATTCTCAAAATTAACATTGATCCCAATTTGTACGCCAGTTGCAGGCCAGTTCAGTTTTACTTCTGTAAAGATCAATAGAAATAGTACACAAACATCTTAACGTAATATCTCTGTGTTTGTTGTATCAGGTAAATATTGACTTATGATTTTTTAATGTTTTTGAAGTGTCTTGCTTACCAAGGTTGCGTTTATTTAATCAAAAATACAAAAAAAATATGATTAACAGCGAAAAATTATGAATTCGTTGAAATTAAAAAAAAGAAATTCTAGGATTTTTCAAGATTCTTTAATGTATAAAAGTTTAGAAGAACAACATTTCTTTGAACTAAAAATCTGTTGTAGCATTATAAATGTATTTACTGTCACTTTTGATCAATTTAATGTGTCCTTACTGAATAAAAGTATTAATTTCTTTAAAAAAAAAACCTTGCTGACCCTAAATTTTTGAACAGTAGTTTGAAAGGAGATGCATAACATGAATGGCATGGCTTAAATTAAAGCATAACAACTAGATTACTGGTGGTTAATGATATGCTGCATGCTTATAAATGTGACATAAAGTGGCACAACTGTTTAGTAAATCTTTCCTGTTTTAATCCAAATCACAGTTGATAATCAAACAAACAACTACAGTAAACATCAAGCAGTAGGCATCATTTTATACACACATAAACTGATAGCATCTCCTTTTAAGCCCTCAGTAGGGAGCACAGCGGCTGGGAACACAGCCTTAAATGGACAGGAAAGGGCTTTAGTTGAGCTCCAGCGAGAAAGAGAGAGAGAGAGAGAGAGACGTCAGAGAAAGTCCAGAAAGAACAGAAAAGTACACCGTGTGTTTAACTACTGTTTCAGGTCATGTGTGACTACGTTTGGGCCCTAAACCATGAAAACAGTAGGCCTGCACATGCGCTTTTCAGGGAGGATGAAAGACTGAAAAGCAGGCAAAGACACCGGGGATTCACAAGTAAACATGTGTCTTTCTTGTAACTAAATGTCTTTTCATTCCCATTTCTCCGCCTCCGTTCATTATCAAAGTGCTGTGACTTATTCTGGCAGATGTTATACTGTTGTCTTCATCCTTCAAAAACAGCTCTGAGAGTTCAAAGGGGAGTCACCCGTAACTTTCCAAGCAGAGCAATCAGTGCACGACGCGGTCAGAGAGAGAGAATGAGAGCAGGTCAAACAGAAGATTAAAGACCAAAGGAAACTCCTGCTGACTTAGTAGATGTACTGTATGAATGCACAAACTAAAACTATTCAAAATTGCTTTCAGTAATTGAAATAAAGGGGTAGTAATTAACTGAACATACAAGCTAAAAGTGAAATAAAAAATAATTAAATCTAAGCCGGGGGAAAAAAATAAATAAATAAATAATAAATGCTTAATAAGATTATTCAGCATAGAACAAAATTACCAAAACTTTTAACTAAGACTAAAATGAAAAATAAAAATATAAAGAGCAGATCAAACAGAAAATTAAAGCTGAATTTCATCAGAGGCCAAATGGAGCTTCAGCTGACTTAGAGGGTTTGTGCATTTATATGTGAATAAGTCCAATGCGCTGAGGATGGCAAAGCTACAGAGAGAGAGAGAAAGGGACTGCCTGCCTGAAGCACATCTCTCTACCCTCCAATTACTATAATGACGGCCTCCGCTGAAAAGGACAGGCCCACTGCGTGTGTATGCCGTCTATCTGTGCCCGACTCCTCCTCTCACACAGATATACAGCGACGTCTGTGATCTATCCTCTCTAACAGACTCGTGCCTCTCATTGTCTGTAAAAGTGTGTTTCTTTTTTCATCCAATAAATCCGTCTCCCATACCCTTTGTGGACCTGTTCGCTCCAGAAGAAGGCTGTTTGTTAAAGGGGACAGAAAAAAGAAAGTCTTTCTATTTTTTGTGTGCTCGCCGCTTTCAGATCATGTGACACTGAAGACTGGAGTAATGATGTTGAAAATGCAGCTTTGCATCACAGGAATAAATTACATTTTAAAATATATTCAAACAGAAAACAGCTATTTTAAAGGGCACCTATTATGCCCCTTTTTACAAGATGTAGTATTGGTCTTGGGTGTCCCCAGAATGTGTCTGTGAAGTTTCAGCTCAAAATACCTGACAGATAATTTATTATAACATCTGGAAAATATCATTTTTGGGGCGTGTCTAAAAAAGAGCTGTTTTGGTGTATATCACTTTAAATACAAATGAGCTGCATATTCCTGCCCATCTCTGCGTATACATCTCTACTTTGTACAGCTACAGCAATAAACAGCCAGTAGAAGCAACATGACAGAGTGCGAGAGAACCGGTGTTCAGCCGTACATATGGGAAGCCACACAGCTCTATCTTTCATTTCAACCAGTTGATCCAACGGTAGCTGCACGGATCTCAGGCTGCCTGGCAGACATCTCGGCATGGATGAAAGAATATCACTTACAGCTCAACCTGGCAAAGACTGAGCTTCTTGTCTTCCCTGCCACTCCAACTCTACAGTATGATTTTTCCATCCAGCTAGGTTCTTCTACAATTACCCCATCAACTTCGGTCAGAAATCTTGGTGTAACTTTTGATAACCAGCTGACCTTCAAAGACCACATTGCAAAGACCGCTCGATCTTGCAGGTTTGCATTGCACAACATCAGAAAGATCAGGCCCTTTCTAACGGAGCATGCTGCACAACTTCTTGTCCAGGCCCTTGTCATCTCTAGGCTGGACTACTGCAATGCTCTTCTGGCTGGACTCCCATCAAGCACAATCAAACCTCTACAAATGATTCAGAATGCAGCGGCACGACTGGTCTTCAACGAGCCCAAAAGAGCCCATGTTACACCTCTCTTTATCTCCTTGCACTGGCTACCGGTTGCGGCCCGAATCAAGTTCAAGACATTGATGCTTGCATGTAGAACAGCCACAGGCTCATCACCCGCCTACTTCCACTCACTACTACGAATTTACATCCCCTTCAGAAGTCTGAGATCCGCTAGTGAGCGACGCCTCATGGTACCATCACAGAGAGGCTCAAAATCACTTTCCAGAACATTCTCGTTCACCACTCCTGGCTGGTGGAACGATCTTCCCACCCCTATCCGGAATGCTGAATCCCTGACAATTTTCAAGCGACAGCTGAAAACTCATCTCTTTCGAAGCTACTTGACTTCATCTTAAAAAAAAGTATCTCTCTTTATTTATTCCTTCTCTGTCTAGCTTGTACTTATTTGAACAATGTCTAAGAACTTGGTATTACAACCACTTCTTGTGTCTGTTTGCCTCTTTAAGAAGAATCTCTTTATGTATCCCCCAATTGTAAGTCGCTTTGGATAAAAGCGTCCGCTAAATGACTAAATGTAAATGTAATTTGAAAGTGAAAGTAAAATGCGCACGGCGCTTTTAAGCTATTTAAAAGCGAAGGTAAAGCAAGGAAAAGAGGGAAAATTCAAACTAACAATTGCGTTACGCCGACTTGCCGCTATTTGAAAGTGAAAGTAAAATGCGCACGGCGCTTTTAAGCTATTTAAAAGCGAAGGAAAGCGAGGAAAAGAGGGAACTGAGCATGGTTTGTAAGATTGTTGAGATCTCTTCTGAAACTTTCCTTGGTAGCTGTGTTTTGAAATAGCAACTGGTTTCTAGCTGGTCTATTAGTTAGTCCGAGCTGGTGCAAGTGTTATTTTAGTATTACTTATATGCTATCATATATATTATATAGCATATTTGTAACCTCACGAAAATTAACCATGGTTTTATTGTAGTAAAAGTGTGGTAACCAATGTTTTTCAGCCTTTTGATTACCATTAGTATAACCACAGTTTTACTATAAACACTATGGTTAAACTATGGTTAGTGTAGTTAATTTGTGTTAATTTGTGGTTACCATGGGTTAACTATAGTTTATTTGAAGTAAATCCATGGTAATTGTTTTATAAGGATATGATATATTAATATTTTGAATTAGCTTGTATTTTTATATTTTCAATTTTGATTTTAGTTTTAATAAATGTGTGCTTATATATATTTTTATTAGCTTTAATTTGTATTTCAGTTTTCGCTTTGGTAATCAACTTTTAGGCAACTTATTTATTTCGGTTAGTTGCCAATTCAATATTTCTCATTTTAGTTTTTCAAGTTTCTTTAAGTTTTCATCTGATATTTATCTGATTTATTTCAGATTTATTGTTAATTACCAAGAGCATTTTAAATATATTTTTAATCGTCTAAACCGTCTTGGACCAGCAACAAACCAGGTAGAAGCTAGTCTTAATGTAGGGTTAC